GATGATAACTGGCGGCGCATTCTTCAGATGTTCCGGTTTGACCCTGTCGAGACCGGGTGCTGTACGATTCTTCACCGACTTGATGGCGTGTCGGACTTCGGAAGAGAGTAACTGAGGGGACGACGTATCCATCCTGTTGCAGTTGATAAGTGGGCAGATGGACATGGCTATCGAAGAGATCCGAGTAGAAGTCGTGGATGACTTTCTCCATTGCCCTTCGGGATGCAGTGTTCCATCCGGACGTCGGAGGCAGGTCATCTTGGTCTTGTAGCTGGCAAAGCTTCGGCGGGCATTGCGGATGCTCCTCCCAGCCTCTGCTGCTTCAGCTAATACTGCTGCTCTTCGCTCCTTGAGATCTTCCTTTATCGCCTCTCTGCATAGCTTCGCAAGCTCGGACGTGAGTTGGTGATTGCCTGCAGCTCGTGCGGCTCCACGCTTGGCGTATCAGCTCGAGAGTTTCCGTAGACAGACGTCCTTTGGTGACTTGTCAAACTCTCTGCCTTCCTGCCACTCTCGTGAAGGTGTTCAACGAGCCGATGGTCAGGAAAACATCATCACCTATCGCTTCAGCCGCGTAACATTCAAACTCATTTGCTCCCCATTTTTGCTGGCAGGAACGATCAAATCGCAGAAGCGGCTGCTCTTTACAAAGGACCCAAGGAAGTTTTTCGTGACATGAAAATGAATCTCAGGGAACTCATTTCCAAGCAATGACAACGTTAAGCGACAAATAGCTCTAGAGGATTTGAGCGACAATTCGAGGCAGAAAATCTTGGGCATACTGTGGAATTCATCGGAGGACACGCTAAATCTGACACGCGCTTATCCACACAGAGAGAAGGTCACTAAGAGAATTGTATCCGAGCAAGTGGCTTTAGTATACGATCCACTGGGCTGTTTGACACCATTAACTCTCCATGGAAAACGATTTCTACAACAGCTGTGGAAATGTGTAGTATAGCTGGGATGAGCCTCTGGAGCAAAGGCATCAAAAAACAGTGGAAAGAGATTATTCACGCAGTCGACGATTCCACTTCAAGATACCCAGCGGGTTACCCAGCTCAACGAGCGCGAAACTTGTTGCACTATCGGACGCAAGCAACAATGGAATGTCAGCATGCGCCTACATCGCGTCAGTCTCCGAGTCTCACCTTATGACGGGGTAATTTAAGTTGCCTTCGATAAAGGAGAATCAACAAATTTACAACTAGGAGCTAAACGCACCTGACAATGGCCGTCACGGTTGGTTCAGTATATTACGATATGTTAATCAAGTAGTGTCGACTTTAACCGGCCAGCTATTTCTAACTTTATTTTCCTTGGAAGAAATCAATGCGTGATCTACCCTCTGCTTGTACTTGACTTCTTCTGTGCAGTACACTATTAGGTTTCCCAACAAGAGGTCGCTCGTTCCTTTTCCAGACCTGGTTTTTCGACCAGAACTCGACTTGTCGAGCATCATTACTTGAGATCTAGGTCGAAATTTTTTTCCTGCCAAGACATTGGAGAACTAGTAGAATTCAAAGAACAGGTCATGGCTAAGTTAGGAATGTACGCTTGGTTGGTTTTCTCATCTTCTCAGGGATAATTTTTTTCAAAGAAATGCGGTCACTTTCGTGGATAAAGACACCTTATTATTAAACACCTAAAATTCGAACTAATTCCCAACAAACATAAAAACAAAACAAATGAGCGAATAGAGCAGAAGAAGTGCTCACAAAAGGAACACCACTCGATATGAAACAATGACGTTTACGAGGAACAATTTTAATTTGAAAATTGCTATGGCTTATCGGTCAGCCAATTCGAAAAGAAAACGGCAAAGCTTTTTCGGCAACAACTAAGGTGGAATGTTCAGAAGAGGTCATGAGTAAGTAGAGGGTACATCATTGATTGATTTCTCCGCAAGGGAAATAAAGTTAGAGCTAGTTGTCGGTTTGGTCAATTTTTGTCGGCTGGACCTCCCATTTCGCAGGCCTAAAATTTGAAAACCATGGAACATAGGTGGAAGAAGAACATAGCATCTTGTAGAGCAGACAATTCTCTTTCGAATGGTATATGACATGATGTAAAAGCATGGGATTTAGAAAAAACTTTTTGTTTGAAAAAAAGCGACACTAATTATGAGACAACCTAATACATTATATGAGGCAATCAAAGAACGACTGACAATACGCGATGTGATAATTCTTTCCGACTCTGAGATTGCTCTCAGCTGGATCGCTTCTAATACAGTCGACCAATCCGTTGGAGTGCTAGTGAGAAATCGTGTCCGTGAGATAAGGAAAATTGTCAGTGCAATTCATCCGCCAGTTCGGTTTGGATACGTGAATACTGCAGCAAATACAGCCGACTGTGCGACGAGAGGAGTGACAAGAAAAGAGTTCGAAGGCCACATGTGGTGGAAGGGACCACCTTACATCTCACAACCGATTGAAAGTTGGCCTGAATACAGCAAGTTGTTCTCACTGTCAAGGGACTGCCAGGACGAAGTTACTTTCATGCTATACGCAGAAACAGGCGATTCCATGCGTGAGCTACTTGACTGTAAGCGGCATAGCAACCTCCCACGATTCAGCGAGTGGTAGCCTACGTTCTTCGTTTCATCAAGCAGCTACTCAGTCAAGTAAACATCAGTCTCAAAAAGAAAGTAGAGAAGAGTGTACCCGAACTGCGCTCTGTAACAATGCTTCCGTATGTAACGACAATTGAGCGAGAGATGGCCCTACGGGTACTCGTCCGCAATCACCAAAGGGTTCATCTGCCACCAAAGAGACAAGCCGCTCTGAAACAGTTGAAACTCAAAGAAGATGATCAAGGGATGTTGCGCTGCTACGGACGACTTGGAAACTCAGGACTTTCTTTCGAAACCAAATATCCATGTATTATCGCTAGTAAGACAGATCTCGCTCGCCTCATAGTGCAGCATGCGCACTCCCTCTTCACTGTGGAACAGCCCACACCATGGCGAACGTCAGAGAAAAATTCTGGATTATGAAACTCAGACAGCTTGTCCGATCGGTTATTACCAGATGTGTGCCTTGTCAGAAGATGAACAGTCTTCCATACAGACCAGAGATGGACGATCTTGCTGCTTGGCGAGTGCAGAAGACCCGACCCTACGAACACGCCGGCATTGACTACTTCGGACCGCTGTCCAATAAAGAGGAGATGACGAGATCGCGAAGGTCTATGGAATAATCCTAACATGTGCAGTGACTCGATTAGGTCATCTTGAACTGGTACCTGATATAAGCACGACGCATCTTTTGTGCTAGGCGAGGAGTGCCGGCAAGCATGACGTCGGATAACGCCACAAACTTTTTACTCGGCGAGGAAATCCTCAGCAGTGCAGTATTTCCTGTGATAAACGACATTTCGTTCGCTCAGGGGATGGCAGAGAAAGGAATCGTGTGGAAGACGAACACGCCCTACGCTCCGTGGCAGGGAGCTATATACGAGCGTCTGATAAAGTCAATCAAACACAGCCTTTACAAAGTCTTGCAGCGGACCGTGCCCACACAGGAAGTTCTGGAAACCCTCCTGGTAGAAATAGAAGGCACCATAAACAGCAGACCTCTAACCTATCAGGAGGAGAAGTGGGACGAGACACCGATTCTTCGTCCAATTGACTTCATTAAACGAGATATGGTCATTACGTACCCGTTTGGAACTATCGGAGAGGAGAGGAGACGAATGGTACTAGCCATCTGAAGAAGCTGCCGTGCTTGAAGAGGACTCGTCGTAAGGCTGAGGGCTGCCGCTCAAAAGAGCTATCCAGCTGACAGAACAGTTACTGGACTATCTTGGAGCCAGACAGTATTAACACGTTGACGACATCGCATGTTTTGGCATTTTGCACCTCGTGGGACAGGAGCGATTTTGCGACCGCGCCGTCCTCACCTTACTTCCGCTTATTTTTTGTTAAAAATGCACAATAACTAGAATTTCATAGGACTATTTCGACAAGGATGAACGTATAAAGGTTAACTGTATAAGTAGCAGTAGGTTTTTGTTTAGAAGAGTGCATAATGACCACGAAGAAGTAAAAAACACGCTTTCGCTGCGAATGAAATTAAAAGCATTTGTATCTAAGTATTTCCATCACATGCAAATATATTGAAACTCACAGAGTTTTGTATTAACTAATTCTACAATCTTTCATATAAATGTTAACGACAGTGAAAGGAATACCAGGAAAGAATTGAAATGAAAGTTTTGTGCGTTCGGAAAATTTTTGCTAAATCATAGGATACTTGACCACTCTGGCTGCCAGGCGGTTTATAGTTATGCTAATGTATTATCTATAGAATGAATACAAGAAACCCGAGAAGAAGGAGCGCAAGCACGATAAAAGTGAATAGCATAGACTTGACGCGCTTGCGCGTCAGAATGTCCGATGCGGTGCGAAATTCTTGACGCGCATGCGCGTCAGCTTGTCGTCAACGTGTTAAGAGGACTGCGAGAGTCGCACAAACTTCACATCGATAACAAGCGCAGTACACCCAGGAGTCCTGAAGTGGGTCATGTTGTGTTGATTGCCGAAGCAGTTTTGCCTCGAAATTTCTGGAGAATGGGGAGAATCACAAAGATCAACTACTCACGAAATGGAGTCATACGAGAAGTGGAACTTCGAATGCCAAACAGACGCACAATACGTCGTCCCCTTAATTTACTGATTCCACTGCAGATAGGAGACCCCTACCAATCGCCCGTCGATGAATCGGGTACGATCCTAGAGCCAACGAGCAATAGTGAGGACCCCACCAGGCATGAAGGACAAGAAAAAAACCGCTACAACCTGCGGTCGACGAGGAACAAACTTTCAGTCATCATGCAGCGAAGGATTACCTATGTCAAGCACTGACGCATGGAACTAGACATCCACAAAATATCAAAGCAAATATATACATGCAAAAAAAAGAAAAAAAACTACGATTTGTTCTGTCTAACATATTCCACATTGCCTAACCTAGTATCTATTCATCCTTTCTTCAGCTATGGAGGAAGCAGTCCCTATCGACGCCACAGCCAAGGTCGCCAAGAGACCAGAACCAGCACTCAAAAGCAAGAAGACGGCTCCAAAGGCAACTCGTCCAGAACAGTCTACGAAGACAACGAGTGATCAAGAATCATCTTCATTGTCATAAGATTTGTCACGTAAACGATCCACTTCCTCATCATTCTCATCTGATGATCTTCCTCCTAAAATGAACCGCGCATCTGGTGGCATACTGAAAGAGCTCCTCCAGACGGGCAGTAGGATCCTTTGTCACGCTGCAAGTAAGGTCGACCAGCTCGCTCCAGGATTTCGGTCTCATCGTCATCCGAAACAACGGAGCGTCTCCAGGAACTTGAGCAACTTGTGAAAGCGTATCACGAGCAGAATATGAAACTGCACAAATCGAATGAAGCAAAACTCGACAAGGTTGACATGAAAATCAATCTTCTTACAGCTCGCTTCGGTAAAATGGAAGAACAGGTCAAGAACTACACCGAAGAAGCCGACTCGGACGAGCATAAGAAGAAGGACCATGACTGGAATGAAACGACGAGTTCAAGCAACTACGAGAACAAGTTTCTGCAATCAACCTCGAGCAGCTATCGGACGACATCAAGGGCCTCTGCGAACGCTTCGATGAATTTAGCCTACGCCTACCCAGCATCGATACATCGAGGACCATTACGCCGGCGGAGCCCAGCTCAGAGCTGGACAGGATCTTGCGTCAAATGGACGAAACAGAGAAGGAGCTTCATAGTGTCCGAAAGGAAACCTTTGAAATCAACCTTCTCATTGAAAAGACATGGCAGAAGGACCGCAGTACGGACGCCATCGACCACCTGAAAGTGAAGCGACGTCGCCTACAGTCGAAGGAATCGAGATTGGAAGAGGAAATGCGGGACCTGGAAATGCGATTGGAGCGAGAAAGGAACGGAAAACACCGCAACACCGAGGAAAAAGTTCGTTCAAGGCGACACGACCAGCCACAGGAGGAACGAATGGAAAGAAATGTGAGCAGAGAAAGACGGCACGACCGCGATCGCCAACGAGGAGAGGAACGTGAGTCGACACAACGTCGGAACTCATCGAGCTCGTGCGACCATGACAAGGATAGGGACAACTCCCCGGCATAGTGCTAACAACTCCGTGGCCGGGAGTATAGAGGTTCCTCTATCAAATCGATATATCTTCAGGGTTCTTTGGTGGCGGTCCAATCGACATATCGGATTGGGTGGTCAACGTCGAGGCCACCCTGATCGCGCGGGAATCTGGCGCTATATAAGGAGCCCACACCAAGGAGCCCACCAGTCGCTTATTCTCGCCCTTTTTTGCTTCCATCTCGGCTCCCATCTCTCTCATTGATCTCACATGTTCTTGTTGATTGTTTGTTTATTAATATTTGTATAAACGTTTAATTACCCAAGTTTGAGATGCCGCTGGACCACCGACAATATAGAAGGGTCGTTTTATGCCATCAAAACGACTTGACTTTTTGATCATTTGCGACGCACGACAAAGAAAGGATTCTTTGCTACAGAATACGAACCTTTGGTGAAGTGATCGACCGCGATCAGGCTCTACAAACTTTGCAAAAGTGAAACTTCACTGAAGGAAGGTTGAGGTGACTTTCATAAGGTCAGCGGCTGGTCTAGCTTTTCGTAACCAGGTGGATCTGTTAATGTGGAAAAAGTACTCCTGATAATGTGTCAAACTACTCCTAGAACTCTGGCACATATGCTCGAAATTCCTCATTATAAAGGAACCGGCTCGTCCCTGACAGGTAGCTCGGACGCACATTCCACAACCAACCCTGCAGAAGTTGGACAAGATTGGCTACGAATTAGTCCTGCGAACATCCTACTCGGTAGACCTTTTGCCTATAATTTGTCACTTTCTCGACTACCTGGATAGCTTCTCCAAAGAGTTATGCTTCAAAAACCAACATGATGCGGAAACGACCTCCGCCGGGTTCATCGTCTCTAGAGCTCCAGTATTCTGCACTACCGGGCTGATTCAACGCAGCTATTATTGGCAGAGGTTTGTGGATTCTAACAGTCTTTACTCCAATCAAAAAGGTTTCGAATGAGCCGAGATACAGGCATTTGAAAATCAAGGTCGAAAAGCGCAAGAACTTTCTTCACGACCTAATATTAGGCGAACATAGGAAACTTATCTCATCTTTCGAATCCTGGCGCCTTTGTCAGGCCTGAGAGGCATATGAGGTTACGAAAAAAACTTTGACAACATTTTTGCAGCTCTTTTATGTCTTAGGCAATGAATATAATATTTTAGAGTCTCACATCGTTTGTTATACAACGAAGTCAGTGCAAGACTTATGGGCACAAAAATATTGAAGACAATTTGTTATTTACTGGCTTCCGTAAGCATAATTTATCATTTACACATATTTATTGGTCAAATTTAAGCCATAAGGCGCAATGTGATAAAATAATACAAAGAATAACGAATAATAAATAGCAGCTCCCCGACAATAATTTGCTCATAGTTACGACAACAAGGCAGCAATTGGCCTCACTTTACGGCCAATCGACAGCCGTCCGGATCGGGATGGTTCTGGCAGTGGCAAATGGTTTTGGCTTGGGCACCACCTCGATGGACATCTGGCCGTTTTCAGTCAGAGTGGATTGTATTTGGTCGACGTCAACGTCTTCTGGAGGAGTCCATCGCTGAAGGAGTGACCTGCAAAAGTGGTGATTCAGTGGTTTTATCCAAAGAGGCCAACCTTTGAAATTTGAAAATGGAGGGCTCACCTGCTTGCGTAATCAGAGAATTTAATTATTACTTGCTTGCCTTCAACGTCCGACCATCGATGCTCACTGTCAGCTCATCTGGTTTGAATTCGGAAACATTTACTAAGAACGATAATTTTGATTCCTCATCGGTAACCTGAAATAATTCTCTTTGAGGGTCTGTCACAGCAGAAAACCAAGTTAGAGAGGTGTCACGTACCGTTTCAGGATTGCCTCCCGGAGCCGTTCTCGCCTTTCTTTCCGTTTGTGCAGGAAGCGGAATCGAACTTGCGGCTCGTTCGAATTGCTCGAATTGGCTGAAGACGTCGTCGAGAAGAGTGGGCAGAATCTCTGTCTCAGTGGTCCATGGAAGAATGCAGACCGGCATTGCTGATAGGCCTCAACGTGCTGGAGTCACTATGCTCGGAGCTGCTTATGTACCATTCGGGGGGACTCTTCGGGAACTGTCGAGAGCCGTCTCGCTCCGCCCCATCCCGTCACCGTGCTCGCAATGAGTCAACCGATTGGGTCCTACGAGATAGTGATTCGCTGACGAAACAACAATTAAAGAACTCTCCAGAGAATTCGCAAAGCCACCAGTGCTTACCTGGTGCAGTGTTCTTTTGCTGCTGTACTTTCTTAGTGAGCTTTCTTAGATGGTAATTACTTCATTCCTTAATTGTGTTATCGCCATACACTCTCTAATACCGCAGCAAGTCTCCGAAAAAAGAGATATCAACCAGCAAATCGGTCAAACAATAATGGGTTTGTGTATTTGCCTGGAACTGATGAACCATGGAAGGTACGACATTATGAAGTTTTGATCGTTTCAAAAAATCATTTTTTCCGTGTTGGCGAGAGGCTGACCATTCGGTGCTCCACGTGGCCAATAAAATTCAGCAGTTATGGACGGTGTTGACCTGACAGGCCTTTTGGCAGCCGTGAGCTGTTTTGAGAATCACTGAAATTGCAGATTGTTGATGGCGACAAAAAATTCGCCGTTTCTTTGGATGTGTCGCAGTTTCGCCTAGAAGA